CTCAAGACTTGGTTATTCCAGCTGGCAGGACTGGCCTAGGGTAATTTTTAGGGGGGTTTTAATTATATTTTAAATTCGACAAATATTTAATATTCTTTTTAATTAATTTTAAATTTGTATTGTTTTGTATGTATTTTAAATAGATTGTCAGCCGCCCTGAGTCCTACGGGAGAAGGGCGGGATATAAATTCAAATATAAATAAATAAAATAAATAGGGCCAGTCTTAGGAAAAGAAGGACAAGGGATGATACGATAGCAGAGTTCCAATATTTGAGGGGTTGCCATAAAGAAAAGGGGGGGTTCAAGTTATTCTCCAGAGCCCCTGAAGGCAGGACAAGAAGCAACGGATGGAAACTAACCCAGGAGAGAAGCAGCCTGGAATTAAGGATAAATTTCTTGACAGTGAGAACAATTAACCACTGGAACAGCTTGCCACCAGAAGTTATGGGTGATCCAACACTGGAAGTTTTTAAGAAGAGACTGGACAGCCATTTGTCTGGAATGATAGGGCCTCATACTTGAGCAGGGGGTTGGACTAGAAGACCTCCAAGGTCCCTTCCAACTCTGTTATTCTATGACTTGCAAGGTTCTGTTAATGTAGTCTTGCAATAATGTAGAATTAGTTTATCTGGTCCTGTTTCCTGTCTGTCTACTCGTGAAGACTGACAGTAACAGGATAAATTATACGCAGATCTGTGTATAATTACACAGTTGTAGAAAATTGACAAGAGTCTCCCAGGTCAGATGGGCAGTCTAGAAAACGAATCAATCAATTACAGGCAGTCCTCGCGTTACAACCACAACTGAGTCCAAAATTTGCTAAGCAAGACAGTTGTTAAGCGAGCTTTCCATGTTTTACAACCTTCCTTGCCACAACTCTTAAGTGAATCCCAGCAGTCGTTAAGTCAGTCACGCGGCTGTTAAGTGAATCTGGCTTCCCCCCATTGACTTTGCTTGTTAGAAGGTCGCAAAAGGCGATCACATGACCCCGGGGGATGCTGCGAACGTCATAAATACGAGTCAGTTTTGCCAAGTGTTTGATATGTGTGAGCATGGGGGATGTTGCGACGTTTGTAAGCGTGAAAAAACGGCCCTAAGTCCCCTTTTTCATTGCCGTTGTAACTTCGAACAGCCACTAAACGGATGGTTGTAAGTTGAGGACCACCTGTGATTAATAAAAAGAGCTAATTCTTGCCCCTCGCCCGTATCTCTCCTCGGGGCAGCTCCCCGCCGGCCAGGACGTCGGCCTTTGAGGACTTCAAGAGCGAGCGCGGCAGCGAGATTAACCGCATCTTCAAGGAGAACAAGACCATCTTGAACGACCGCAGGAGGAGGCTGGGCGAGGTGGTCCAGAGGATCAACCTGGTCAAGCAGGAGATGGACGCCGCCCGCCAGGCCCTCGAGATCCAGAAACTGGAGCGGGAGCAACAGGGTGAGCAGGAGGAACGGAGGGAGAGGTTTGCTTGGTAGCCTGGTTTGGCAGCCGATGGAACTCCTGGCCACCAGACTGGCTGAGGCGGGCTTTTGCCCCAGCTCAGGCCTCCGTTTTATTTCAGCATTTATTAATTCCTTCTGTGCTGCCTGTTTCCCCAATCTGGGCAGCATCAAAAGGGGTTACTCTAGTCCAACCTGACCACATCGTGGGCTGTATCGTGACACATATTGTGAGTTGTTTTGCCCTTTGCGGGGCCGGAATGTCCTAGCCCTGGTCTAGCCGGAATGCGTGAGAGAGTCTGAAGAGTACAGGGAGCCCTTGAGTGGCCACCGTTCGTTTAGTGACCGTTCAAAGTTACAGCAGCGCTGAAAAAAGTGACGTAGGACCGTTTTTCGCACTTTCGACCTCTGCAGTCATCCCCGGGGTCACGTCAGAATTAGGACCACTTGGAAACTGATTCATATTTATGACAGATACACAGCGTCCCGAGGGGTCACGTGATCCCCTTTTGCGACCTTCTGACAAGCAGAGTCAATGAGGGGAAGCCGGATTCACTTAACGACCCTGTGAATGATTTAACCTCAGTGATTTGCTTAACAATTGTGGCAAAGAAATGGGGCAAAACTCACTTAACAACCGACTTGCTTAGCAACAGAAATTTTGGGCTCAATTATAAGTTGAGGGTTGCCTGTATGCCATGGGTACATCTTGAAATCTGCATTACAGGCATTCCTCAACTTATGACTGGTGAGTTAATCTGCCTGTGACGGTCATATGTTTGAAGGTCATAAGACGGATTAGTTACATGGTCAACCTGACGGTTGTAAAGCGAGCACCACAGTCCTTAATTGAACGCCGTGCTTAAGTAAACCAGTGATTCATTATGGCTGAGGTTTTGCCCAAAATCAGAAGGAAGTGACGGGTCCGACTGTTGCAGCTTCAGATCTGGATCATAAGTCCTCTTTTTCGCATCCATGGTAATATCCAGCGGTCACTAAATGACCAGTCGTAAGTCAAGGACTATCTGTGGATGACTCAGTTTAGAACAGGTGGTCCTTGACGTACGGCCAAATTCAGTCCAAAACTTCCATGGCTAAGAAGAGGGAGATTTGTTAAATGGGTTTTGTCCCGTTTTACGACCTTTCTTGCCACAGTTGTTAAGTGAATCACTGCAGTTGTTAAGTGAGGGACATGGTCGTTAAGTGAATCTGGCTTCCCCATGGATTGTTGGGAGGTTGCAAAAGAGGACCACATGACACACACACACACACCAGGACACCGCAACTATCATAAAATATGAATCAGTTGCCAAACATCTCAATTTCACTTCCGCGATCACGGGGATGCTGTGACGGTCGTAAGTGTGAAAAAGAATCCTAAGTCCCTTTTTTTCAGTGCTGCTGTAACTTGGAACAGTCACTAAATGAAGTGTTGTAAGTCGAGGATTAGCCGTACCGAATTATCCTCGTTGGAATGGCGACCTACGAACCCGTGCAGGTGACCCCAGGCTCACCCCCTCGGCCTCTTCCTCCGCGGGGGGGGGCACCTGCCCAGCTGAGGACGCCTCCCTCTCGCCTAGGCGAGTACCTGAACGAGGAAGGGCAGATCATCATTGACGAAGAGGAGTTCCTCCTCATGGTGAAGCTGAAGGAGCTCAAGAAGCATTACCGGGACGACTTCGGCCAGCTGCGAGATCTCCGCTCCGAGGTCCAGTACTGCCAAAACCTGGTGGATCAGTGTCGCAATCGGCTACTCACAGGTAGGGCTGGGCGCTGGGACCGGAAGCCCCACGTTGCCTGCGGGAATGGGTGGGCACTTTGAGGGTGGCTGGCATGGCTGGTGGTGCCAGGCCTGGCCCAAGAAGGCCATGGAAAATAACCTAGAGTCCTTCCTTCCTTCCTTCCTTCCTTCCTTCCTTCCTTCCTTCCATCCATCCATCCATCCATCCCTCTATCCCCATTTTCCTTCCTTCCTTCCTTCCTTCCTTCCTTCCTTCCTTCCTTCCTTCCTTCCTTCCTTTCCTCCCTCCC